TCCTCCTTCTTTGCAGAAAACGAATGAAAGCATATTTCATTTGCTTAACAAAGGATATTTGAGCAAGCAGTTAAATTACATTAGATTAGGTTTTTTGTAAGGGAAAAGCAAATCTTGAGTGCTTCAGGATGTACTGCTTAGTTTGCCAGAAAATTAACACCCCTCTTTAACAGTTCTGTATACTAAAATCTTGAGCTGTACTTCTCACATCGCTTGTCTTAATGCTTACAGACATTACTTTTAGTACTTAGTTCATTATTTTATGCTGAGAAGCAGCTTTTGCAGTAAATAGAAACAACAGCTACATAATAACATAACATGGCCTTGGGACATGTTGGATATTTTCACATTGCTTTCTTGTAATCCTGCTTGGACCTCAAGAGTTTTCACAGTGGCAGAGAATAACAGCTACCTGGTGCAAGTTAGCACATGCGCAGTTACACGCTTCACAAAAAGCTCTCTCATCCTTGTGATTCAACATTTCTTTTCATTGATCAAAGAAACAGGAATTTAGCAGGGCCAATATCCTGGGCTGTGTGGTCATCCTCAGTGGGACGAAACCATGAATTGTGGCATTTCATTTCAGAAAACACATCCTGCAGAACAGCCCTCTCTGTACATTGGGGGGATAAAGTCTATGATTAGGCTTACTCTTTCCTAATACCATTACTTTAGGATTTGCATAAAGAAAAATCCCCCTCAGGAGCCACCCCTTTTGCCTGCAAAAGCACCAAGGTATAATTAGACGTGTTTGAAATGTGCAAAAATAAGAAGGCAAAGGTAGGTAATTGTCCCTTCCTATTTATTCTAATTGAAGTGGTAGGATTTTCACGGTTCCTTGAACAAAATAAACAAATTATGTGCAGTACACATCATGCATGTAGGTGTTTTCAGGGTCATTCTAACTGTTTGTAATTTCCTTGGGTTTAAACTATTTCAGAAAAACAGTTTAAAAACCTGTAAAACTACTATTACAGTACATTGTAACTATAATCTACTATAAGGTCTTTATGGCAAAAAACTGTAAAAGATGAAAACTTGAATTAAGTGATTTGAAAAAAAACTTTTTTTTTTTTGATGGACCTATGAGAACTTTCAAGGTTTGTACTGAAGCCTGATACGAACTTGCTCAACAATAAGGATGCTGCACAAGTGGGTGCATCTATCTTGTATTCTGTCTGACAATTTCAACTGAGACAAAAGAAACACAAGAATACAAAGACAAAAATTATTCTATTCTCATGGAAAAATTGAGTATACACATACAACCCACCATAGTCTGTGCTAAGTATCAATGGAAACTTGCTGCCAAAATTACAATGTTGCAAAGTTATTAAACAGCAATGTTATAGCAACATCACTGTATTATTGAGTATCTACACCTACTAGATCACTTACTGTTGGTCAACACTTCGGAACACGGACTCTGCATCTTTTTAATTGTATGGTCCACATCTCAACTATCTCAGATATTTTTGCTCTATTTAGCTCTCTAAGACTTTCAAAATCTGCAAGGCGAATGCATAATTTATGTGCTAGGTGGATGGGCCATGGCTTCAGTGAGGGAGAAAGGGATCACGAAGCATGTCTCATTTAGCAATGAATTGGTTCACACTGAAGCCAAGAGGCTCAGGCAATCACAACCCTTTAACATCTCTATCAAAATTTGTCACTTTGATGTCAGAATGTGCAAATCTTGGGATTAACAGCCATGTGAATTTTTGTTGTAAAAGACTGCAAGTCACCTGTCTGAGCTTTAACTTGATTCCTAAAGATAAAAAGGTTTTTGAGGTTTCTTTCCTCCAGGCATGGCTGCAGGATGCATGTGATGTCTGGTCTGAAGTGCACTGCTGATAACAACTGGGTGGTTTTGAGTTTTTATGCATCAGTATTTGTTGTAATGAACGAGCATGTCCAGTGTATGATACTGAATGTACTAATGATGATCCTGGATATCCTGGAAGAGGTGACACTGAGGCTTTCTTAAGACTTCTCCCTGTAAGAAACTAAGCTCTTAGCACTAATTAGTGGGACTAAACCAGTAGTCTGAAGTCAGAATCAAAGAGGCTGGGTACAGTTGACTGCTTATAGATGTGTGTACTGTAGCAAGGAACTTAGATTTTGCTTTTATGTGGTATATGCATGAGTATCAGACTAATGCAGATTAATTTGCCTTATAACTGTTACTTAAGACATGCATACTGTATTAGAAAGCCTGCACTAGAAGACATACAAGTAATAAAGGTATAAGTAAGATATAAATAAAAAGGTATTTAGAAAAAGACATATAAACTATAAATTTGCAACTGGTATAGCCTAATACCAGATTGCTATGTTCCAGATAGGAATTTAAGGAAATGCTATTTTCAGTAAATTCTGATCACATAAATGAACATAAGATCTTTGGATATGGAATGAGGATGCATCCATTTCAACCATTTGGCAGATAGATGCTAGCCTTTAAAGAAAAGCTTTCATTGAACAAAACAGGGAAGGATGGGTCAGGTGTGCCTCAATTACAAAACTGATACAAGTGAATACACTTTCAAGAGAACAATAACAAGTGACATTTCCAAGGCTTTCCAGACACTGCAGAGTAAGTATCATGTCAACACTGAGAGTTACTTTCTTTCTATCACTTGTCATATTTGCAGATCAGTATGTGGAAATAGAACTAGGTCCTCCATAAATTATGTTTTCAGTTCTGATAATCAGCATGTGTATCAGGATGGAAAATAATTTGCTGACAGGTGTTCCAAACTCTGCATGCTGAGGTTCACAGTTCCATAAAACTTTCATGTTTCAGTTTAACTGCTTTTATATACTCGTGTAAGTTTTTATGCATCTATTCCTTACCGTATTGAGAGATTTATTTAAAGTCTAACAACTAAGCAAAATGACTGCAGTAATTTTGTCTAGCTTCTTGGCTGACCACCAGATTAGTTCCAACTCTGCAAAATTCAAAGAAGTAATGGTTTAACACCATTTTTTCAGAAGTCATTGGTTATTTCCTGTCTAAAATTGTTGAGCCTGTATGGATAACAGCTTCAAATTCATAAATTTATTGCACACACTTGGTATCTTCTGAAATAATTGGTTCACCTTCTCATCCATTGCCTAGGGAATCGCTCAAATCATTACTGTTGACACTGCTTAGTTGGCACATTTTTTTCCAAAGAACTTTTTTTTTTTTAAGCTCACTCTTAAAATAACCTCAATTTGAGATTATCTTTTTCCAAGCATGGCTGCCATTTAGGAGCACAAATAAATGCTTCTCTATCTTCCAACAACAAAAATTTATCCTAAATTCTCAACCTGTAGCACATCTTCTACCTTAAAGGTACAGATTAGAGACATCAGCTAGAATTGAGCAGGAAAATTCCATTATGTTGTGCTGCAGTCATTACAGACCTATTCACATCAAGTACAAAAAATTCTCTTCCCGTCCGATTTCAGGTTTTTCAAACCACTTAAGGCAAGAACTGCTTTGCCCTCGAGATGGCTCCATCTACCACAAGGAAATCAGAAAAGTTTTGATCAGTCAAACTCCTTATATACTACCCACATGAGTGTAAACTGTGGGGCTAATGAACTATTTTGGGGGCTACCCCAGACCACTCGTGCAAAAATACGACAAGGTAGGCTTTTATTTACAGTAATCTAAGCTTGCCTGAAGACAACTTAGCTAAATACACAATTTATGTACACTGTTTCTCCATACATTTACATGGACCAAGACTCTGAACCAGGAAAAGTATAAAATAAACTACAGCAGCCTATCTTCTGCCTTAAGACACTGCATCAATTATTAGCACAACACATATTAAAGCCATCTCCATATAAGAACGAGATTTTTCTATAGGCACATGCTTGGTCATCTATGAAAGATTTTATTAGCTACTTCAAAACACTGCAACATTTCTTTCTGAATCAAAGTTAGGAATACTTTTTTTTTTTTTTTTTTTCAAATACAGAAAATGCATTTCAAAACATATGATCAAAAAAGAGACATTTTAATTCAGATCTGAATGTTTGGAACAAACAATGAAGGAGCTGCTTTCAAACTGAAGCCTCTGAACAAGAAACTGGCACATAAGTCTGTTCTTTTGTAGACTGCCACTAAAATAAAGTTTCTGTGAGTATAACAGTTTGTGGAGATCATAAAGGTAAACACTATTTTAAAAATCACTTTAAGCAACAATTAAGGGCATGTAAAATTGTGACTTCATTTTAATGCTCACCAGTAGGGAAAAAACCCTAAGATTTTTATTATACTACTTGATTCATTTCTACTTCTGGTAAACTGAAATGTCTTTGTGGCTATATAATTATACAGCAGTTTTTGTTTAAAGATTATTTCTACAGAACACGATCTGATTCTCTTAGAATAATGTCCTATCTTCTTGGCATAGTATCACCTATACATAGCATTTTCTTGTATAAGGAGATATATCTATCTGAAAGACATAAATCCTTTCCATATTACACTGCACCAATCGAATTCTTCATGGTATGACAATGTCTACGTCATTTCACATAGTAC